GCGCCGCTCTCCCCTCTTCCGTTGTACTCTACTCGACTTCCCAACGTTTTTCTCAGTTCATGCGCTTGGTTTTTCTTCTTTTTTTGTTGTTGTACAAACTCAAACACATACTGTTTTCATTTAGTTAACCGTTGCTTGTAGTACATAGCCAAAACATACAAGCGGAAGATACATAAATACATACATAATAATAAAGCGCAAAGCGGTAAGCAGTAATAGTAAGTTCGATAAAACTTGTACACCTGGCCATCAGCCACAAACAAACAAATTTTAGTAATTGTTGTGTGTGTGTTCGAGAGTATTCATTTATGTTGTGTATTTGAATCGCTAAGAACATTACTTATGCATACATATTTAAGCATAGCCCTCAAAGGTTGTGTATACAGAAAACGACCAAGCGAATGCAGACTTTAGCAAAAACAAATGAATACAGTCGCGTCTAGGCAGAGAGTGACAGCCGTGTACCTGAAATGTCGTCCCTTGCTAGCGTCCTGTTGGGGTGCATTTTACACATTTTGTTTCCGTTGCACACACGACTGACTACCTAGCCAAAACGTATGCATATTCTGTATACCAATTTCCGGTTTGTGAACCCATATATCATGCGTTGTATCCATAACATGGGACTTTCTTTTGTTGTATGCTGTCGTCAAGAAGGGGTTTTGGGGTTTATACAAGTTATACATTCGTACCAGATAAAGTGCATCAATACTTCATAGCTGCAAATATGCATACCCATATTTTTGTTCTAAAATATTTCACGGTCTCTAGGTTTGAATACATTTACAAATTAAATAGCGATTTTATGTACATACGTACATACGTACATACATACTTTCTACCATAATGGGTGAAATCGATGTTTATTTATTTTGCCATACACGACTAGCACCATATTGCGCTACGCAACTGTCTCTGTGTTTGCCGTATGCGGCTGTCACATCGGTGTGGTACATGACTGTGCGGCGGCATTGCCAGCTGTTATCCCAGTAGCAGCAACGTGTTGTGGTTTTTCTGTCTTGTGGGGAGTATCTGCCTGGATAAGATACGGAATAATTTACCTTTGACGTGCATGTCTGCCATGTGCAATGCATACGAAAAGCAAACCAATTACAATAAATTGGAAGCAAAGAAATTAAAATCAGAGAGAGTGTGAGAGAGAGAGGGAGGTGAAAATAAATCCAGTGATCGAAGTCAAATAACGCGTGCCGATCATCATTAGCGAGACCTGAGACTGGTGAGGGGAGGCGACACGCGCCTGTCGATTTGGCTTTAGGATTGCAAATTTTATGATCTACTTTCCATTGAAGAAAAGGTGCAAAATATGAGAGAGCGAAAGGATACCCCTTGGTGCAGGTAAAGCCCAGGACAAGCGACTCTCTTGATGGATTTGATCTCGCTCTTGCTTCTCTCTCTCTCTCTCTCTCTGGCTCAAAGTCTCCAGCTGCCGTTCGTTGCAGCTGGCGGGGAGAGAGAGAGAGAGAGAGAGAGAGCGGCTGTGGAAGAGCAGCTGCCGCTGCGGATACTGCTGCTTAGCTGAGCTTCTTCTCTCTTTCTACACTTTTTACACATTTCCTCTCTCACGGCCATTCCCCTTTAAAGCGGCCAATGATCGTTTGGCGCTTCCATTGTATTGAAATGGTGCCGCAATCCCCCTCCATCCCCCCATCAGTAACAGAGGCCGTTACACCGCTTTAACCTGCAAATGGGCCTCGTTCAACCAGTGCAGTTTTCAGTGTAAGCTGCTGGACAGTTTAGCGCAACGGTTCCTGGTATTCATTTTACATATGAAAATACTAGATACCTTTCGAAAATGTCTCTCCCTGATTTGTTGCTGGTACGCAAATGATGAAGTCAATCGGAAACTCTGTAGTAGGTTTTCAGTAGTTGATGGATCCAGATGGGACCCTATGTTGATTGTCAGGATCTTTGCCATATCTGCATGGCTAAGGTCACTATTTTTCTGGATAACTATGTATGGATACTAATAGAAATTCAAGTGTTTAGCCATCCCTTTTTGGTTTCAAGCCGACCCAGAGCGAATGACTACAAGACAAAGGTCTCAACCCCTGTTATCCCCTCACTGTTATCAGCTGGCGTTGTACACTGGTGTCCATAAATATATGCACACGCAGAGGTTACTTATATACACATGTATGCAGATATTTAAACAACTGTGCTCTACATTTGGAGCCCAACCTGCTGTTAATCAATGCATTTGTTCTCTCTAAAATTATTTATTTTCTTACACTGTTGGCTTAAAGTTAAAAACTAAAGCCACAGTGTAGGGAGGCAGCCGTAATTACTGTTAAGTAATTAAGATAGGTAGGATAAGAGGATAGATAAGGTAGATAAGAAGGAGCTAGGATAGATCTGCAGGAATGTACGGTTCTTTTTTTTCCCCCTTGCCTCATCACTTGAGATGCCCCTCTTTTTTTGTGGCTCAATCTGGAACGTACTTTCATAACTTTATTTTCTGTCGTCTTTTGTGTTTCTCTACCTCTTTGCGACATGGCAACGACGACGCTCTCTGTTCTGAGTTGATGGATCCGGAGTGTGACGCTTTTCTTTGGCCATTTCCGCATTTTCTTCATCTTCGTTTGCTGTGTATTCGCTCTGGAAATACATATGTATGTACGTGTGTATACAACCATTCCCTTGGCCTGTGTGCCGTTTGGGTATATTTTTTTTTGGCAATCTTTGTTCTGTACATAAGCGAGAGGGCAAACCCCCACCCGCCATGTCAATTACACGATGCCCTGCCGGCCACCCTTCCCTTTCTTTTCTTCTTCTTCTCCTGCTTGTATGTGTGTGTGTGTCGTTGTCCAAACGAAACCGATTTAGCCCCCTCCCTCTCCCACACCAACCCAACGAGCGAGCCATGCCCTCTTCTCCCCTCCCAAGGCTGTGCTGCTGGCCTCGTTTTCCATTAAGCAAAGTTCTCTCGCTCGCTTGCTCGCTCTCTTTTTGCGCTACTCGCTTTGGTTATCCGCTGGAGGAGAAGCACAGTTGGTACTCCTGTGGCGCAGGATCCGATTATTAATTGATTGCAAAGCTGATTTCGCTTATAGAATTGTTTAGTTTGAGAAATAAATGTATAATTTTCCATAGAAATAATCCATGTGATCCATGAAAATGAGAAAACTCTATTCCATTTGTCGCGTCCCATTTATATTAAGTGAGATCGTGGTTTTTTGAGAGTGAAATTGTTTCAGTTAAGAATTCTACATATTCCTATTTTCATATTTAATGCCCATATGTCAATTTGTAGACTAAAAGCCCTCCCTCCATTAAACAATAGGAATTTGAAGAGTTTTCTTTTGTTGCTTTACGAAAGTAATCATTTTTGGAATGGAACAATTTTTAGAAATAAAAAGGCTAACTATATATTCATAATAGAAATACAATTTATATAGAAGATCCATAAAAAAATTAAATGTAAATTAAATTGATCAGAAAACTGACACATGAATTATTTCTTCTTATTATTTTTGTATTATTCTGATTCTGAATATCTCTCCGCTAGAACTCTCCCGTGACACTAGTCGGTAGCACCTTGACTGGAATTAATATTTCTACTGAAAATTGCCAACTGCAAATATTTTTTGCTGCCTTGCTGTGTTCTTGGTAATTTGAAAGAATTGTTGCAGCTTGTCATTTTTATATGACGGCGGAGGTCAAATATCACCTGCCCTGCCCCGTGTGTCCGATGGTCCAGGTCCAGGCAGAGGCAGCTGCTTTATTTCTGGTGATCGAGTGATATTTAATGGTTTAATGAATAGTACGATGGATTATAGAATAGTTTACTTGAAATTAAGCAATCAATTGATTGGAATTCGATTCGATATTACAATATACAATGTCTCGGATCTCTGATTTGTGATTTGTGATTTGTGATTTATGATCCTTTACTGATCTAATGAATTTTATATTTTAACAACACTCTCATTAGAAAGAATCCCCTGGGTCTTGTGATGTTCCTTAGAATCGGTCGAGCGGGAGATCTGCTTGAAGAATTGCAGCTTGCTTCCAAGTAAACAATTTGCAGCTTGCTTTCAAGTTCCACCTTTCGATTTTTCCACCCACCCGGCCTCGACCCAAGTTAGCACCTTGCTGATGCGAGTTGGCATAGAAATCATCCAGCTTCCGAGAAGAAGTGGGAAAACATCTGCCTGCCTGCCAGGATCTGGATCTGTATCTGTATCTGTATCTGGCCCCTAAGTATTTTTGCAGCCGGCCACCCAAGAAAGTACGCCTGGCACACTTCCTAGTAGATTGATGGCAGGGTGGCAGGTAGCCGCCCACGCGCCTGGCACGCGCACCTTGCTCCTACCACCCACCTACCTACCTGGGCGATCCACCGCCCAGCATCGGGCGGATCGGACAAGCGATCGATCCTTAAATAGATCATGTCCTGGGCCGTGCTCTTCAGTCGAGTTCCACTCGTGACAAGTCCAACTTGTGTCCTGATTTTGTGATTTCGTGTGTTCCACATTCGAGTAAAGCAAGTGTGATAATCCCAATGATGGATTTTAGTTTCGAAACTGTGACCCCCTCCCTGTCGACCACATGGTCGTCGTATTATAATTTCAAGATGGCAAGGTATGTCTCTCCACTTCTCCACTCATTGGACAAAAAAAAACTTAAAATTAGTGTATAAAAGCGCAATTGATTCTTTAGTCTTGGTTAAGACATTTATTATTATTATGAGAGGGAAAAGTGAAAAATGGTCAAATATTTGTATTGTTTGTTAGGTTAAATAACGCAAACGAACACACACACACGCACACTATTTACTTGTATTGATTATAGAAAATATATATTTTTACGATTTATATTATATTTCGATGCTCTACAATCGCGCGCACACACCTCACGTCTTTGTCTTTGTCATGTGTTTTATTTTATAAATCAGTTTACAACTCCCTAAAAATCCCCATTAACCCGCAATATAACTTCTCTACATCCTATTTCCCACTTCCATTCATCGTTAGTTAACTAATCAAACAAATCGAATCTCGAAAACTCTACAATCACTTAGTAACAACAACAACAACATCATCAACATCTCTACCTACAACAACTTCAGAGAGAGAGAGCGCGCCCATAAAAAAAACAACAACAACAGTTACAGAAACGAAGGGAGCCAAGTAACAGTACCGTTAGAAGCAGTTAACGAAATGAATATGAGTGGTGCCTGAGAAAAGAAATGCCGTAGGAATTACAATTACAAGAGAATCTGATACGCAAGAACGGCAGACCACAATACAGAGACATAAGAGAGCGTACGCCAGAAGAAGACAACACCAACACCAACAACAACAACAGCAGCCGCACCTGACGTACAACAACAACTACCACCAGTCGACAACAATTAAAGAGAGTGTCTTCTTCACTCTCTTTTTGAATGTGTGTGGGGCTCGTTCGCCAAAAATATATCAAGTAGCAGAGAGAGAGAGTGGGAGAGAGAGATTGACAAGCAAACAACAACCAACCTAACGGCACCCATCCATCATCAGCAGCAGGCCAGCTGAGAGCGCTGAGCGCCAGAGGCAGGAAACAAGCTGCTCTCTCTTAATCTCTCTACGAAAATTCTGCGAGACGCTCCCCCCCTTCCCACGCACGCACAGACACACACACACAAACCATCACAACAAAGTGAACGGTTATTTTTTTTGATAGATCGATAGAAGTGCTATCGATAAACGTGTATATATATAACTATATATACAAACAGAAAGAGGAAGAGCACGCAGAGTATTTTGTTGAATAAAATACTCGTGCCCCAAACAAACTCAGGATATGTACGGAAACAATAATCCGGGTAGTAACAATAATAACGGTGGTTATCCCCCATACGGTTACAACAAGTCGAGGTAAATCTTGTAACTTGAGTTTTTATGCGTTTCATTTCGCTATTGATTTTACTTTAATTTGTACCCTCCATAAAAAAAAAACAAAAACATGATATCCCCACAATGAATTGCCTTTAACCTGCTCCTATACCTATCCCAATACCCACATCCTAATCCTTTTATCCCACAACCAACATCGGACACTCAAAAACCAATGAACAAACTACGTACACAGTCACCTACATAAGTACATGTGCCCCACGAACGAGACTTGAGAGGACAAAGTATTGACGAATTTTTTTCTTCCCAGCTCTGGACCAAAAGCCCCACACAATTTTTTTCTTCCCATTTTTTTTCTGCCCATATTTTTTTCTGCCCAACTCTCAGCCCATCTCTCAATTTTTTTTAATAGTTTTACGAGTACAAATTCGAGTTGTAGCAAATTGTTTTGCAGCAACTGTTGAGGCCATTACTACCTCTCTTTTTTTGTATAGGCTTGAATATTGGTGGGAACAAATCTAACGGTATGCATTGGTATGTCTGTGTGTGCAAGGGCGGCTCAAGGTGTGTTTAGATGGGGTGATGCACATCCGTACACCCAACAGATAACTGTGCAGGGAATGTATTGCCTTGTTTGAATATACCTTGGGCGCCAAGCACAATATGTCCCCTCCCCCGTCTCCACACTTTCCACCCGAACCACAACGATTTTAGTCTTTGCTTTTTTTTCGTATGTATTGTATTAGTTTCTATTACATATTTTGTGTTACGCTCTTGGGCTTTGATTAAATCAGAGCGAAGCAGAGCAGAAAATAAACAACAGTTGAAAAGGAAAACAACAATAACCACAACAGCAACTAAAAAGGAATATGTTAACAACAACTAGCAGCAGCAGCAGCAGTCTATAAGTATTAGCAACTAATCCATGTACTAGATCGTACAGAAAATAATGAGTAAATCAATTAATTAAGCAAGCCACAACACACCCCAACCAACCCTACACCCAATTACACACCGAAAGTCTTCCAAAACAACGAAGCAAACTTAATCTGTGCCAACAAAAAGAGTAAATAGAGGACAGGAGGTGTACAGAGTCGAGAGACCCAACCTTTAGTGATCCGCTACTTGGTTTTTTTTTTTTCTTTCTTCATTAGATATTTGCTCTCTATCTTGCTCTCACCCACTCCACTCACTCACTCACGTTGTAGATGTTACGTTTTGCGTTTTGCCATTTCCATTGCATACATTCGTGCGCGCGCGCGCTCACTCATACACTCAGCGGGGCGTGCACACAATCAGCTGATCGTCTGCGTGTTTTCTATAACGTAAAGTAAACTCATTGATGCCACAACGTAATGAAACGCAACGTGAACGTGAATGTAATGTGAACGACCCGACACTCAATGCCGTGTGTCGTTTTTTTGTTTTGTTTGTTTGTTTCCTTGCAGCGTCCTCGTCGCCTCGCCCCTTCTCCTTCCCAAAACTGTATTTACAGTTAAATGTGATATATAAAATTACGAAAAGCAATACAAATACAAAACCAAAAGAAAAAATGCATTAAAAGGAAACTCGACAAAAATCAAACGAAAGGCAACGAAAACGCAATCTTCCACATAGACAAATATACAAATGCTCGTATACTCGTATACATATACATACATATGTGTACATTAAATTACCACTAGAAGGAAGAAAGAGATCAAAACTGCATTTAATGTTGATGAGCGGGGAGAGCGCTGCCATGTCTGGCACTCAAAAGACACTTTGATACGCGTCCGCTCTCGCTCACACCCACACACTCTCGACACTTGGGGAACGGCCATCGAGTGCCGTTACCCATCCACATACACAACAAAACACAAAAACACACACACATATGTATATGTTTATATATGATGCACTGACACATGCCATCGATGTGTATGTGTTGGTATAATTTGTTCGTGGCAAGAGGATTATAGAAACGGCCTAAAAACGTTCTCGTCGTCGTGCGGCCTGTGCTACCCAAACAGCCTCACAATGTACCGGTAAATGTTGTCTTTCTTTCTCTCTCTACCCACACCCTACTATTATTGCTTGAAAGTAACTTTTCTTTTGTTTTAACCGTTGCGTTTGGATTTTCTTTTAGCATGCTTAGTTTTCTTTTTCGGTTTGTTTTGGTTCTATCGCCTCGCCGCATATCCCATTTACCACTCATTGACCATTTCCGCATACGAAATACAAATCTTCCCTAGAATGTAAGCCTTAAGGTTAAGCATTAAGTACAAAGGCCAGCAGTAGAAGGGGGTCCTGGAAGTCCACTGCAGTTGTGCCATATTTTATGATGAATGATATCATCTTATCCTCAAAAATAAAAGAAGGGGTCACACAGGGTAGGGGGACAGCAACAATATCAGCAGCAGCAGCAGCAGCAGCAGCCATTGAACTTTTGACACACACACACACAGAGAGATGCACTAGAAGCTGCATGGTGGCGTCACAGTTCGACTTTTTTATTACTCGACAAAGACTGATGGTGCTGGCTACTGGCTGTGGCTGTGGCTGTGGCTGGGGCAGCTTCTTCTGCTTTTGCCCCATTTAATTTAACGGCACATTATTCAGAATAGCGGCAACCGAACCGAACCCCCCTTTGTGGCCCACCACGTGCTCTGTTGAATTTGTGTCAAGACCTTGACACGCACACACAAACACAGTTGCAGTCGCTGCGCGGCAGCTGCAGTAGCCTTAAGTTATGTATTCTGTATAGTCATCCCTTTTACTCACCCACCATGCGAGGGGCCCCGCCATTTACCGTTTAAACTAGTTGTAACTGCCGGTTGTTGTTGTGGTTATTGTAGCACACACACACACACAGAGTGTGACCCTCCCCCCGTATACATACACAAGTACCCCAATGCATACCTGACGAATTTGAGCTCCCGCCCAACCCCTCTGTCTCTCTCTCCATCTGTATATCTCTATTTCGCAAAAATGCGCAAGCATACTCTCTCACTCTGCCTCTACCGTCCCTTTTGGGGGCAGAAGCAGCAGCAGTGGGAGAGAGATAGTGAAGCCCTAAAGAGCAGATTTTGCTCAAGGTCATCAGCATCAGCAGCAGCAGCAGCAAAAAATACAACAACAAAAGCAGAACATCAATCAACAGTGTCAACAATCAACATTCAACAGACGCCAGCAGCATCAGCAGCAGCAGCAGCAGCAGATCCGCTGCAGCAAGTGGAGCCCTTGCCGATCCAAAAAATGTTTTGGAATCTATTTTGGCAAACTATTTTTTTACATATTTTTTTCTGTGACACATTCTTTTTTTTTTTTGTTACATTGTTTTTAGTTGACAAGGATCGTAATCACCTTGGCACAAAGAAAGAAAGAAAAAATAACCTCCAGAAACTCAAGACAAAGAACACATATGAAACCCCAACCACGTACAATCCCCACTAAAACCCCTACATCCAGCAATTACGTAACCACCAACACCACCGTCATCGACGATGTCCTGCAGCTGAATTTAATTTTGTGTAGACATCTCTTTCCACAGCTATGGAGTTGCAGGAGTAACAGCTTGCCCCCCTAGCAAATTGCGGAACCGATTTCGATTCCGGCAGAAGCGAAAAGACCCACGAAACTCTTAGATAGATAAAATGTAGGCATTTTTTTTTATCGATCGATGAAGGTCTGTTTCTGAATGATTATGCTGACTGATCGCATTGCGGGGGTCGGCTGTGACAAAATGTTCTTGAATCGGGGACGCATCGAACGCCTGTAAGTAACAAGCATCTAAGAAACTTATCAAAAACATAAAAAATAATACAAAAATCCATCAAAATAAGAAAAAAATACCATGAAAAAAAAACAGCTCAAAATTGAGGGAAAACTTACGGGTCTTAGCCCTAACTTAGACATTAAAGCAACACCACAGTTCCACACCACACCAAAATCAACAACTGAATGTCGTCGCCGTTGGAGAGGGTCAGTCCGAGAACCCAACACACCATATTGTACATACAACACATTTTTTTCAATTTTTTTTCAAGTGCTAAAAGTGAATCAAACACTTTCAATGAAGATTGCATTCAGTCCATTGAAACTGACATTTTTTTTCCAACTTTTTTTTCAAGTGCAACAAGTGTTGGAAAAATGGTTCCACGAAATTGTGTCCGATTTTTGGAATTGATTTAAAAAGGGTTCCAACATTCATCTATTCAAAATTGAATACATATTTTTTTCTTTTTTTTTCGGTGAATCGAAAGTGCATGAAAAATACATAATATTTTTTAATAGTGAATTCTTTTTTTTTTTTTTGTACTTCATCATTGGCAAAGAGCTTTGCAAATTTCCGAAAAAGACCTGAACTTGTCATGATCCTTCTTTGTGAGGGATTTGCCAAGTTTGAGTTGAGGGAAAGTTGGATGGCTCTTTGAAAATCTCTTTTCCAAAGCCTTCTCGCGGAGTCTCTCCGCTTAGTCCTTAAGTCAATTTCCACGTAGCAGCAATTGCTGTCAAGTCAGCTAACAGCTGGCAGCTCTGTTACCTAACAGTCTGCCTCCTGACTGTACTTGCCCGCAATTGTTGTTTGCCCATAAGTTAGTACGTAAGGCTAAGTTAGTTTTAATAAATTCAACTTCAGATCATCCCAATACCGAAGCTACCATTTCTCATTCATCAATGTTAGAAAAATAGAAAAAAAAATAGAGTAAATTGCGCTTTATACATATAATTTTGATAATTTTAAACTATATTTAACAAAGCAATCCTTAAAACCACACAACACCATCATTTCCCAGTGCTAATATATATTTTCTCTATACCCCTCATCATCGAATCGACTCGAATCGTGCAGCGGTGGGCGTGGATTTGGCATGTCGCATTCACTGCCATCTGGAATGGTTAGTACAATTTTCACACACAACTTTTTTCTGCCTGAAATTTATAATTATTATTAGTGCTACAAATTCGATTTCAATTTCGATTTCCATTGCATGTGAGCAATCAGCGGAACGAACGATGAACAGGTTACAGACGGCAGCTCTGCCTTGCTCAATTCCTGTTCCCTGTTCTGTTCTGTACCGTTTCCGATACTCATCAATAATAATAATAATAATAATAATATAAATTTTATGCCCTATCTATCCATCTATATTACTATCCATAGTTGTATGTTATTGAGTTTGTCTCATGAACGCTCTGGGGACACACGCTTTTGATTACGAATTTTCAAGCAAGAATCCAACACTATAAAAAAATACAAATAAATATAAATTCAATTTTATTTGTGGATGCTATAAATTTCATTTTGGTTTATGATAAACAAAAAAAAAACAAAAAAACTAAAGTTTGCATTTTTAAACAACAACAAACCCTAAACAACAGAAACAGAAATAAACTATAAAAAAAATCCAAGAAACTACAAGAACAGCAACAACACAAACAACTATTTTCTTAAATAAACGAATTGCCAAGACAAAACAAAGTAAAAATCCAGAAAATACTCACACACACACACACACACACACACTTTCATGAGAGTCGAGGCAACCCTGGCAAAGTGGCCTCTTTCGTTTCCGTTTCCGCAACAGTTACGGCTTCCGTTAAGACTTCCTCCGACCGACCACATTGCATATTTTCATCTTATTCGTTGCGATTGTTCAATTTCAAGAATCATAAAATTGATGAAAAGATGAAGGGTTTGGCATTTCTGAGATTTCACTTATCAATACTCACAGCATATTTTGGGTTCTTTGGTTTTATGCCATTACCATTTCAACGCACAGTATTTCCCCTGTCTCGCAATGAAACGACCCTCGTGGAAACACTCAGAAACACACACCACACAAACAAAAACAAAAACAAATAAAAATATTTCTAAAAAGCTTAAAAACAACAGACAAAAATAATACAAAATATGAGTATGTTTTGCTTTTGGTTTTGCAACCTTGTGAATGCCGTTACACACCTGCACACACACACACACACACGCAAAAAGACAGAAGAAGAACAGAAAACACTCGGAAGTACAGTGAAGCAAGCGAATGTTTCGACTTACATAAATAGAATGCTTAATCCAGAGCAACAAAAATATAATACCTCTGATAACGATATTTGCTGCACTCAAATTTCAAGCACGCATTAAAAACAAAAACCAAAACCAAACAAAAAAACGAATGAAGTTAAGAAAAAAAAAAAAACAAAAAACAAAAAATGGCATTTGTTACCGTTAGTCTTTTGTCGTAGTTGCCACCTTTTATTCAATCAAAGACGTTGAATACGTTCACGTTCCTCGTTCCGCTTCCTTCTCAATCAACCTGAACCAGAATCAAACCATCAATCCGATCACAGTTGTGTGTGTTGTTGTTTTTGCTGGTACTAATGCTGGTGCTGCCCCACAACGACAAGTATCCGAATAAATAAAGCAGACCAACGCAACCAATCAACCATCCAATCAATTAATCAAACGATCAACCAAACCAAAACCAAACCAAACTAAACTAAACCAAACCCCAAGACAGCGATATGAGGCCTTCTCTCAACATTAGAATATCTTTGTATGGTTAATCTGATTCCAGTCACGTTATGCGTTCTCACCACAGGATACAGAATTCTCATTTCCAAGTTCCTCGTCTCGTCGCGGTTACAATGAGTTTCCCGGCGGCGGTGGCATTGGCATTGGTGCCAATGGCGGCAGTGCCAATAATCTTGGCGGCAATATGTGCAACCTGCTGCCAATGACCAGCAACAATTCGCTTAGCAATCTGTGCGGACTGTCGCTGGGCAGCGGCGGCAGCGATGATCACATGATGATGCACGATCAGCGATCCAGCAACACCAATCTGATTGTGAACTACTTGCCCCAGGATATGACTGATCGCGAGCTGTACGCCTTATTCAGAGCCATTGGACCCATCAACACGTGCAGAATCATGAGAGACTATAAGGTGAGTGATTTCTTTCCCTCTCTCTCTCTACACTTGTTCATAAAATGAATATTTAAAATTCCTTGCAAAATTCCATTTTCTACAGACTGGCTACAGTTTTGGTTATGCTTTCGTGGACTTCACGTCGGAAATGGACTCACAGCGCGCCATCAAAGTTCTGAATGGCATTACGGTGCGCAACAAGCGGCTAAAGGTGAGCAGATGGAGTCCCCTCCCCTGCTTTGATTCGCTTAAAATAACTTTATTCTGTTTGTTGTTGTAGGTTTCTTATGCTCGTCCTGGCGGTGAATCCATCAAGGATACCAATCTGTATGTGACCAATCTGCCGCGCACCATTACCGATGATCAGCTGGACACGATCTTTGGCAAATACGGTTCCATTGTGCAGAAGAATATCTTGCGTGACAAGCTGACGGGTCGGCCGAGGGGCGTGGCATTTGTGCGGTAAGTTTTATCGTCCAGTTGGACGGTTTTTTTTTACTCTACCACCACATCGATCTGAAAAGATTTGACTGCCATACTTTAAACATTTAGTTACTACTTTTGTTTTCGAAAGCGTTCTCATTGTTGTTCTCTTTCTCTTTCTCTTTTGTTTCTTTTCCTTTTTCTTTTTCCACATACTTTTACCACGCGCATGTTCATGGCTCCCCCCTATCGAACCGAACCGATCCGATTCCATATATATATAAATATATATCATCATATAGCTATAACAAACGGGAGGAGGCACAGGAGGCCATCTCGGCACTGAACAATGTCATACCCGAGGGCGGGTCCCAGCCGCTGTCCGTGCGCCTGGCCGAGGAGCATGGCAAGGCGAAGGCGGCGCATTTCATGTCACAGATTGGCGTGCCAGCGCCAAATGCACCACCGCCGCCACCACCACCACCGCCCCATATGGCGGCCGGCTTCAACAACATGGTTCACAGAGGTAGATCAATAAAATCACAGCAACGCTTCCAAAAAACGCATCCCTATTTCGATGCCCAAAAGTTTATCTAAAAAAGCAAAGAAGGGATGAACCGAACCACCAACACCAACACCAACACAACCACCAAACCACAATCCCCCCACAAACAAACAAACAAACAAAAACAAAACGACTTGAAAAACATACTCTGACAACGATAAACACAAATCGTTAAAAGAGTTTCATTTATTATTATATGATTTTTATTCACCTATTTTTGTTTGTATTTTGATAAACAACAACAAAAAAGAGTACAGCAGCAGCAACAACAACTACAAAACCCACATTTAACACTAACCTTAACCAAACCAGCAAATCCTTAGTTTAAATTTGTTTTTAACTTTGTAATTATTTTCGTCGTATTCAATTGAATGTTGCAATTTACTTTACCCCTTACATCTATGCATCTATATATATATATATATATATATAGATTTATGGATAACACACAGATTGAATTGTAAATTTCATTTACTTCTATTACAAATTAATGCAAAAAAAAAAACAAAAAACACTTACAAAATCCTTAAAGAAGAAAAACAATTTTACTTTTTACGAAAATTATCCAAATTTAAATGCCAACTTATGTCGGAAGATTTCATACTTTTTTTTTATATTTGACCACTATTCTCCACTCCACACACACACACACACATACACACTCCAACACACACCCAAAAACACACTCAAGACATATCTTCTGAACTAGCTCCAGTGAATCGCGAACTAGTTCCAAGGTTTTTTGTTTGTTCCACAGCCTCGTAGTAGAAATTAATTTCGGTTTTTAGCAGAATAGGTCGAAACAAACTCCAGCAGAGTAAGAGACTTCAACAAAAACACAGGAAACCAACAGACACACATAAGACACGTAGCAATTTAGATTTACCATATATATTTTTTTTAACGAGATAACTAAAATATGAACGCAGAAAACCGAAACTATAATGAAATGTGCATAAACGAAGGCAAATCATCAAAGGACTGAATCATTACGTAATCTAAAGAAAAAAACAAAACAAAAAACATGTAATAAAAAACAAACAAAAAACACGCATAACAAATAAATGAGAAATATTATTTCTATAAAAGGAGTTTGCGGTGAACGCCAACGCCAACGTCAACGCCAACGCCCATGCGACAAAAATCAAGAATAAAGCAAAAAGTGTGCAATTTTTTTGGAGTAATTTTTTTTTCTGTTCACAAAAAGACTGTGCTACAAGTTGATTATGGATGGAATCAAAAAGCAACCAGAACTGATCTAAATACGAATAACTAAAAACAGAAGGAGTAAAATATACAAAGCGTCGCCCGAGCATCAACTCTTCTTCCTCTCAACAACCCTTCCCCTCTAAAACCTCTACAGATCGTATCGAATCACGTATTTTTTTTGGTTATAATTTCTCATGAAAATCAGCCCCAACTATAACAACATCCACAACAACAATATCGAGAACCAACAACCAAAATATACGTCAACTCAGGCATCTACTTTTTGTTTTGTTGGTCACTCGTCCACCAAGTTTTACCATAAAAAATACAAACACAAAATGGAAAAATGAATACCTATATAGATTTACATAATATAATATATCCTTGATTATATGAAATCTATTCTATATAAATAGCGTTAAATTTTAATAATTATTTAGTATGTAGTGCGTTAAAAAGCAACAAAACAGAACAAAAACAAAGCTAAAAAAAAACTAAAGCCGAAAGTGTGACCAGAGAAAGCGAAAAAAATAAAAAGGCAAAGCGCAAAACAATCGTAAGAAAAAACCAAAACAAAACCGACATTTTTTTTTTACAAATTTTTTTCAAGTTTAAGCAAATCTCGTGAATATTCTCACGAGAGAGAACAGTGTTGGAAAGCAGCACAAAGCAAGCAGCGCCCGATGCCACAACGGGAAGTTTTTTCTACCCATATTTTTTTTCGTTTCCCCACTATTTTTTTTGTGTTTTTGTTTGTTTTTCTTTTACTTTGATCTTTGTAATCTGCCTTGCCTCGTGCCCCGTGCATGTTCGTGTGTGTGTGTGTGTGTGCGTGTGCGTGTGCGTCTGCGAGTGTGCGAGAGAGTTGGGATTCCGAATCCTTGCCTGATCACAGAATGAGGTGGAACAAGAGCGTGGCGCGAGTGCAGATTTCTGTTTCCAGTTGTTCCCAGGCACAGCAGCCAGGCGGTGCGAAAGAGACAATGCGAAAGCGAGGGCACGCAAGAGACAGACAGAGGCAGAGAGACTGTGAAATTGAGTAGAAAGAAGTGAGGAAGGCGTGGCGCATGGTAAGTATGCGCGCACTCAAACAAGCGATAAGGGGGTGCTGCCATCGCACACCACCCCCGAAACACCCCCTTGAACCTTACCTACATTCCTCCATCAAAAGACCGACCCTATCGCCAAGACATGGTTTTTTTTTTGTCTTTTTTTAATGTGCAAACTTATTGATGTAAAATTAATTTTTTTTTAAAGAGGAAACTTCAAAATAAAAATCCAAGACATTCAAATGCTGACTCTCTGCCCACACACTTCTCACCCTTTTATCGGTTTCAGTGTCAACAAAATAGAAACTAAAAACTAAATAATTAAGACAAAAACAAAACTTTTTTTAAACTTTTTTTGCCAGTGTATTTTCTCATGCTTATGAGAAAAGGAACCCGTTACAATTCCATTTTTTTTCCAAGTGAAAACTGTGTGCCGAGCTAACCTTTTTTTTCGTTTTTTTTTTCTGTATATTGCTAGTGCTCAAGACGCCTTTGACTACTACTCATATAAAAACAAAATTGTTTTAAGGTTTTTTTTAGTGTATTTTTTTTTGTATTGTGCCTGCCAGTGTTCGGTGTGGATCCAAGGATTTAATACTGTATTTTCCATATAAATCTAAGTTTAAGACTTATGCAGAACGCATTTAAAATTTTAGTAGATTTCTAGCTGATTGATTTTTTATAAAATTAATTTTTGTTTGCTTTGCTTTTTTGTTGTTGTTTTAAATACAAAAAGAAATATGAGTTTCCAATTGGAACATACTTACATACCTAAAATTATACTTTCGGCATATTATTATTTTAGCATCTTTATTTGGCATATCTTTAGTTGGTAGATTAAGAAAGAGTTGGGTTATGTTTCAGTCTTTTAGTTTGGCTTGAGATAAATGCGTTGCCTACTTTTTGAAAAGCATGACTGTACCACCCTTCGAGCTATCCGAGTAAAAGAAATATAATTTCTCTCTCTCTCTTGCTCTCGAGAATGAAAAAATTGGAATCTTAAATTGACATGACATCAGCCTTCAAAACTGTCTTTTATTTTTATAACGTAACATCAACTGACTATGAGTAGGCGCCACAATAACTCTAGCAACTCTACTGTTTGTAAAGAGAGTACCATGGGCAGCCAAAAAGTAGGCAACGTTTTTTGGCAAGCAGCCATTTGAACATCTTTGAACTCAGAATCGATGTCCTTGCAGAAGGGGAGCAGGAGCAGCCCACACAAAAAGAATATGCAATCAGACAACACTCCGCCATACTCAATGCAAAGGCATCGAGGGCTTCGGACAGAGGATACCCTCGACCGAAGACAGTTTAGGGAATTGCTTCATTTTAGTTTTGCTTTAGTTTGCCTTAGTTGGGGTCGCCTGTTTCGCATACAAGTTGAATCTGTTGCCGTTTCCAAGCTAAACCAGTAGTTAGAATGCCCCCAAACCCAATGTATTTCTTTGCCCCACCGTAACCGCATTTGTTTTTTCCTTGCCGTAGATACTCTACCCCACCTTGATCGATCTACTCACAGCACTAACCCGAACCGATCGCCATTCCTTAAGCCCGAGCCTAGGGAGCGGCGGTCCATTCAACTCACTTTCATTGATTGTTGTTGACAGAAAAAAAAACAAAAAAATCCACATAATTGAATAATATTTATAAACAAAAAAAAAAGAAAACAAAAATTATCTTCTTCCCCAGCCCCAACCCAAAAAAATGAAAAAAAAAAAAAACCAATCTACGCCGCAACTAATCCAAGTTGTACAATTTTTTTCCGTTTCGTTCTTTTTTTTTTATTATAGACGGAGCTATGGAAAAATTACGCTCATTATTCGATGCTATATGCGATGCTATCTTTGGTCTCGATAGTAATTATTCCTTTTTTATATATATATATATATTTCTAATACTATTCCTAATCATAATCTATCATAGATTACTTGCTTCACTGAAAAGCAAACTCAAAATAATTATAAATGTATTTTTTTTTTTTTTTTTTGAGAGCACTTAAGAATGAGATCTAGGTGAAAGTCTGTTCTATATAAGTAGTTATTCAAGAAGAGAAGACACACACACACACACACACACATGGAAACACACACCACCCTAAACACCCATACTCTCCCACACGATTAAGAAGACAGAAGAAATCGAAATTCAATTTCAGTTTTCAAGTTTCTCATGCATACACACGTATATACAAAAAAAAAAAGAAAAAATCAACTTAAAAAATTCTAAGAAGACAATCAATTGTTTTTCGCAAGCGTGCCATGTTTTTTTTTTCTTTCTCTCATGCCATCATACAGCTACTATAATTATCTCTATCTAACTCTCGTATCTCACTCTCTCAAAAAAGAAAAAAAAAAAAAAACAATCGATTTAATTTTAACACAAAATTCATCGCCTTTGGCCCATGCTCCAGCTACAGAGTGCTGTTGAGCAAGTGCTAACGGCGCAGAGCGTTATTTGAAAAAGTTCCAATTGAAAAGTTGCGAAAAATTGTACTTCTAGATGATCCAATTCGAGTCCCCAATCAAATTAAATCACATAAAACAAAAAATTATAAACAATTTGAACCAGAATGGAAATGTGCTACGCTGCTGGCCCTCAAAACAATAATGTTGTCTAACAAAAACTTAGTTTGCTTGCGCTTCCCCATCACAACTACTTAACCTTCCACCCAGGGATCTCTTAGAAGACACAGACCCCAATCCAAGGAGTTGCTTAGACTTTTGTTTTTGTTATAAACATCGCCCTACTTCATGGTCTGCCTTGTCTGCTCTAACAAAGAATCATTCATCCGAGTACCCACAGTTTGTAAATGTTCAGTTCTCTTCCCAAACTAAAAGTAAACTAAATCAAAACCACAACTACCCTGCCCCTATATGTGTTATATCAACTATATATCAACTTGTTTTGCTTGCTATGTTCTTTGGCCGCACTTGGGTAATGTGTATATGTGTACGCTCTATATATGCAACATATCAGTCACATGTATGTCTACACATCTGTATAGAACGACCATCATAGCGTCAGTCATCCATATATCCATACACATACATATATATATATATATATGTACATACATACATGCAATACCAAAGCCCGCCCTAAACCCAGTTCCAAGTCCGATCCCATCCCTCACCCTAATGAAAAGAAAAAGAAAAAACATGGCACGTTCAATGAAAAACTATGAAAACTTTTTAATCGTGTTGACGTATACAAAACGCATCGAAAATGGAAATGGAATATAATGAAAACTAATTATATTACTGACACCGCAATCGAAAAGCCAACAATCAAACTTCAGCTTAATCAAAACTACAAATATCTCTAAAGTTAACCGAAAGCAACAAACCAAACAAATACAAAAAATAACAAAAAAACACTAACCCAACACCCCCCTAAACACGAGAGAAAAGGGCAAACAAAACTCTCTCTATATGCATAAATATAACTTACTAAATCTAATTGATCCTCCACCATAAGGTAGTTAAGTAAGTCAGTCAGGGCAGCCAGGGAAGGTCCAGAGCAGGACACAGATCAGAAATGAACAGCGGAATTACTTATAGAATCGAATTGAAACTTCTAGAAATGCAAATATATTTTTTCAATCAACTTTTTCAAATAGATGCATGACTTAAGAACTCTGTAAATCAATGCCAATGAATCATACTAATTCATGTTTTTTGTTGTCTTCTCTAACTTCTTTCTTTCCCGTATCGCGGTTGAAACACTTTAGGTGACAACTTTGCTGATTTGCTTGACGGACTGTACCGTAGGAAGTACCATTATCCCTACTTATAATTGACACCGCATCAGCAGCAGCAACTACAACAACATCAGCTGCAGGCGATTGGCAATAGCAACAGTAATAACAACAGTAACACCAATATTAACAATATGCTACTCTACCATCAACAATATCATCAACAACAACAAGAAATACAACGCCTGGGCAATACTGCTGCTGCTCATAGTTTGAGCCCGAATGGAGGAATCAACATCAACAACAACAACAACAACTTCAATCAATCCAATAACAATCTCTCCAACAATCATTTGGATGTAATACGACAGAATGGAGTCGCTGCCCTGAATTATCTTCAACAACAACTGCAATTACAGCAGCCGCAATCACAACAGCCACTACTATCACCACCACCGTACCAGCCACAGCCGTCGAATGGACACTCATCCCGTCAACAACAACAACAGCAAAAGCATCAACAGCCCTCCAGTAGTAGCAGTCTAAACAATGGCCACACCAACAACCAAACCAACAGTGGCAGTAATGAAATGCTACACAGAAATAATACAAACCAAGTCAACACATATAACAACAACAGCGGTAGTAACCAGAACAACAACAGTTACACCAATAACAACAGTACTGGACTGCCACTCACCAACAATTACAACAACAGCAGTAATGGTGGACTAACACTTAACAATAGTTACTCCAACAACAGTGGAAATGGCCTGGCACTCAACAGCAGCTACCCTAATAGCTGTAAAAGTGGGCTGGCACTCAACAATACCTACACCAACAACAGTGCCAGTGGTCTGGCACTAAGCAACAGTTTCAGCAAAATTAGTGGGAATGCCCTGGGACTCAACAACACCAACAACAGTAACAGTGTTCTGTCGCTCAACAACTCTTACTCGAACAACAGTAGTAGTGGTCTGGCACTTAGCAACAGCTTCACCAACAACAGTGGGAATAGCCTGTCACTCAACAACTCTTACTCGAACAACAGTAGTAGTAACAGTGGTCTAGCGCGCCAATGCAACTCAGGCCAAAATAGCAGTTACACCAACAATCAGAGTCGCGCAGGCCCAACCAACTGCAGCAACGACAACAATGGTCTACAGCAACACAACAGCAACAGCAGTCATAACAATCAGAGCAACGGCAGCCACAGTCGTCGCTCGCCACAAAATGAGTTCAGCTTCAATATATCGACCACTGAACAGGAGCTGCAGCAGCAAACACTCAAGCTGCAGCAACTGCACATCAGCAACAGCTTCCATTCAACATCAGCAGCAACAACAAGTGAAGGAACAACAACAGCAGCCACGGCAGCCCCGACAACCACAGCCAATCACACATCAAATGTTGGCTTCCTCTGGCGTACATAGCCTCAAACGTTTAATTAAAAGAGAAAAAATATATATATAACAAATTATATATGAAACCCTTATATGGATCATCGTAGTAGCAGTGCCCATTGAAACCATTTATCCGTATAGATACGAAATCCAAAATTTTATGTTCTCAAACCCCGATACCTTTTTTTGTGTATGTTCCTCATTCGAACTTATATGTTGTAGTACGTTTTTTTTTCTTTTTGTGCTTTTTTTTGGGATGAATCTTTTTTTTCTTTTTGTAACTAGCTGTAAGACAAGACAATTATCTATATAAAAGAAATACATAACTATATTATATACATATAGATGGAGAGATCTAGATCGAAGAAAAAGGCGATCATTTTTTTTGCGTACACCTAGAGAAAGAACTACGAAAACACATTTTTTTGTCACATATTTATAATTATCAATAATATACAAAAAAAAAAAAGAGTATATACAAGAATACATATATATATATATATACAAAAACACACACATATAATTATATATCTAATACTACATAGCATACTTGTAGGCGTGAAGACATAAGCTCTGTTTTTTTTTCTCCGTGTCTGAAACTGATTTTTTTGGCGCGAACTATGCCGCAACAACGTACACGAATTTCGTGTATGTTTATAGCTGAAGTTAATCCAGATACTATATGATTATCTTATAAATATGGTTTTTTTTTTCATTATTTATAATCCAATTTTTTTGTCTATTCAATATATACCGTAACCATAATGGACTGGAAAGGAGGCTGCGCGTGCTCAAGTTTTCAGGCTGTTTACAAATAAACGAAAACAAAAAAATACAAGAGAAATACTTAGCTAGAGATAGGCTCGAGCAGAGGGCGAACTTTGAGTGGGGAACGGCACGAGACGCTATATCCCCACACGAAATTACGTAATATCAATTTTTTTCATAGCTATAGAGAAGAAACGCTTCCTTTTTTTTTTATAACATAATCGATGTGAAATCCACTTTTTTTTTTTAGTTTATTTTATGAAAAGACTTGAGCATGTGGCAGCGAAAACGAAAGCAAGCATTGTAAGAAGGAAAGCAAAAGAATGAATGAAACCACGTGATAAAAGAGTCCGACGAAAGGAAAATCAGAAGAGACAGAAATACAGAGAATAGAAATGGAAAAGCAAATAAAAGGAAAACAAAAGCACTCAAAATCTTAAGCGCCTGTGGGTGAGGGGTTGAGACAACTGGTCTAGGCGTAAAATATGAACTATCCAATTTTTTATTTAATCATCCCGCACTGTTTTTTGTTTTTATTTTCATGTACTTAGTTTTAAGTTTGTTTTTGATTTTCGTTTCAATTTATTATGATATTTCTTGGCCAGCCATGCTCTCCCCCCCCCCCTAAAAGCAGAAAGCATTCACAATTTTTTCGGTGTAGGTGCGTAAATTTAGGGAAAACATAAACCCCATAAACACCTAACAATATTTGTATGCATAAACCTATGAATGTGAAAACTTTTAATTTGTCCACAGAAAATTTTAATTTTTGAAAAACCCATTTATTTCTAGTTTTATTTCACAGTTCCACATCTGGCTTCAAAATATAATAATTACCAACAAATAAGCAACAAATATTATCTAATAAACATTTTCACCATCTGAAACATGCACACTGAGTTTTCTTTTAGTTTATTAGCGTTTTTATTTCTTTTAGCCAAGACCCCTTTCCCAGAGTTTGTGCGGAAGAAAAAATGTCAACGAATTAGTACACTTAAAAGAATTTTTTTTTTTTCAAAATAAAAACTAGCTTTAAGAGAAAACGTAAGCTAAATAAAAGTATTTGAAAGGCGAGTCGAAACACAGTAAGAACTCGATTGAACCTACAGCTTGGTTGTGCTGAACACTCAAACGTTACGATTCTAAACAGAAAAAAACAATACCCGAATATACCCATAATAGGATTCCCGAATAAGCAAAGAAAATATACACAGAAGCGAACGAAATGTTTATTAAACCAATATACCATGTACATCATCCGTATAACACAGGCATACGTATGCTAAAGCTCCCGACCGTTCGTTTGCCTCCGGCTGGGAGGAGCTCGGAATCACTTTAAATCGAACAAAAATACTCTCAACCAATTGTAGCCTTAGTCTGTAAGTGGATTTACACATATGTATGGTATGTACATGGCTACATATACGAATAGTGCGGATATTGGATTACTCGGAGGAATAAAACATAAGGCGCCTACAATTTTTTCGATCGTCTCGCGTAAGAAAACCAAATTCAACATTCATGTGGGTTTTCGTCCTCCTTTTTTTTTTGTGGTAAGAATAAGTAATTTTTGTGACCTTTTTTTGGGCATGTGACAAAATGGAAATCATCAATATACTTTTTTGTGTCAGTGTAGTGCTCCTTTTTTTTGTCAGGCGTCATCTTTTAGACAATTTTTTTCTTTACTCATAAGCAGCCAAGCTAATTTTGTTGGAATACCGAGAGACGTTGAATAGGGAGGAGCAAGGAGCGAGCCTAGGAAAGCGCAATTAGAGAGAGACAATTTTTTTGTTGGTATTTTTAATAAAGAAAGTTGTAGAACATGAAAACCTCACGGCAACCTAATCGCAAATACATTTTAAATGTTGTTCAATGAATATTTAGAGAAACAAATGAACATGGCTAATAAAATACATTTTTTTTTTATGTCAAAATAAATGTCTAGAAGTCTAGAAGATAAAAAACGCAAAAAATCTTTGTATAAAGAGAGAAAAAAAACAAACCAAATAACAGAAATATTCATACAATTTTTTTTTGTTTAGTGTAAGGGAAAACGTGTTTTATATAAACGTATTATACATAGAAAAAGAAGAACAAAAAAACAAAAAACGACTCAAATCGAACCTCAAGTAAGCGGAGATCAGTGAGATTAGTGCATATAGTAGATATACTCGTATATAGAGATCCAGATAGCTAATATTTCTTCTTCGTCGTCGATTGGAAAGCCAAGCGGTGGAGGAGGAGGAGAAGAGAGTGAAGAGTTAGAAAGATTTAATGGCGTTTTTACCTATGTAACTTTTTGGTATTATTTTGTGGTTTCAATCTCGACCATCTCTGCCCTGTCCCCTCAACCCATCCCAGGTCCCCTCTTTTAGTGTTCTAGCGTACATCTATAGCATCTCGAAAACACCGACAAATGATATACAATTCAAATATACATAGAAAGATATGTAATGCATGGTAGCTACCATTAGCAGAGAAAGCACAGAGAAGAGAACTTTTTTTTTGAGTAATGAAAATGTTAAGAGTAGATCGGATGGCGAGGATTGTATCTGAAACGTGAACTGCCCTATGAAAGATTTTTTAACAAAACTTCAAGAAAAAACAAAAACCAAACTCCAAAACAAAGAGAAACAAACAACTATAAGTCGACAGTGCAGAATAAATATGTATGTAAATTCGAGCAAAAGTAAGTAAAGTAAAAAGTACTAAATGGCCTACTGAAATAAGCAATATACATTCATAAATAGAACAAATTTAGTGGAACAAATTACAGTTTAAATAACGAACGAAATCAGCAACAAACAAACAAAAATAGGGATTATATTCAACAAGAAATGCAAATGGCAAATTATATTAACTATACAACCGTATATACACTATATACCTATATACATATATATATATAAATTATAACTATTAAGACCGAGTGGAATTTTTTTTTTTGAAAAAATAAATATTTAAATAATTAATACCGTAATAAACCATAAATATACTGAATAGACGACGACTCACACACACACACACACACACGAGACACAGAGACGGCATACAAAGAGATCTCGTATTGTTCCGTAGTCCGTAAATAAAGAACACAAAAAACCACAACAATACGCATTAGCACTTGACACACATACATACATACGAAAGGAAACGAAAGGAAATAAGAACAAATTGAATTTTATTCGTTTATACAAATACATGCATACACATAACGACATATATACATATATTATATATATATATACATAATAGCAGCTAATTGTTGTACTTAAGATGTCACATTACAAAGCGATAAGTACTTACAAAAAGGAAAAACCAATAAACGAAAATATTTAAAATTCCATGGAAAGCGAAAACACGGGTGTTTTTAATGCGAGATTTATTCATATATACATATGTAATTTTACCATTGATACCGCTATTTTGTGACGTTTAAACTGACTATATTTGCGGTATATCGGTATATATTATATTACAGTATATGCGGTACTAGTTCAGTATATACCGTTAGACGGTATATCTTATCGATAAGTCCGCGGTCACATGGATTGATTAATCGGTCAATAACGTTCTTAGCCACAAGAGCCTTATCAGTGTTGTTTGTTAGCAAAACACTTGAATTCGACGCAGTTGTAGCGTGCCCACTGCCATGAGTCGTCAGCTGCGTTCTCCTTAATGCACTTGCGACAGGCGCGTCTTATGCGAAACACAACAAACATCATATCATCAGTGGTGCTCAGAGGTAATGCCCAGAGGTAATCACTCGAGTGGGGGACAGGAGACAAGTGTTTCCCTTCTCCTCCCCCTCGGAGTTGAAGTGCGCTCGAGGTACGCCGCATAGGGACTAATGATTGTATGATGATCGCCAGCTGATGATAGTATGTGCTCCAACACGTTTTCCAATCACATCCAATTAATGTCCGCCCCACCAACGACTCGACGATCCATTGCGGAATTACGTCAGGCCAGGCAATTCGTGCGATAAGCAGAAATGTTCCAGAGATGGGTAACAACACCCTAAGCCATCACTATGACTACGTATCAGTGCGATAACTACTCTGGCTACGTAGGAGGACATTGGCCAAGACTTTCTGGACTGTCATTGTTTAGACTCTCGACACGTTTGGCACTGGCATAATCTGAGGGTTCGATCTGGCTCGAAGCGGATCGCTGCTGCGTTGCATAATTGAATGGGAGGTGGGCTTGTCCCAGCCCCAGAGCAGCCAGAGCAGCCAGAGCGCACCCAGGGAGTGAGTGTGTCCCCAGTGTGTGAATGCACTTCAATTGACTTTGATTGCGATTTGGTTTGTTGTTTCTCGGTTTCTCCGTTTCTCTGTTTATTGATATTGATATCGGTTTTTGTAAATGGTTTGTGTTTTCCCCGATTGATTCGTTTGGGCCGCATTCCATTGCCGCCAAGGCTAAGTACTTGGACACATCACAGATTGAATACTCCACACTGATAGATTTCACATATGCAACTAGAACTACAACTACAACTACTACTTATAGTTATATTTTTAGTTCTACTTCTGCAGGAAGCGCTCGTGCAGCTCCACCTCCTTGAGGTTGTTGAGAGTGAGTCGGCGGGTGTACTTGCCCGTCCGCCAGTGCTCCTCCAGCTCCTCCAGGGTGCGTCCTCGCGTCTCTGGCACAAAGAAGCCAATGAAGCCGGCCGCCAGGAACGAGATGAACGCATAAAAGGCAAACAGATTGGCAGTGCCCATGGCGGCCTCCATGTTCGGATAGATTTTCAGCATAATGAACGCGAGGATCATGCCAAAGAAGACGGCAATGCCGGAGGCACTGCCGCGCGCCCGCTGCGGGAACACCTCGGAGATCATGAAGAACGGCAGCGTCAGCATGCCCATTGTGGAGAACACAATGTGTGCGACGATGCACACCACGGGCAGCCAATGCCAGGTGCCCACCGTGTCGGGCCACCAGCCGCCGGCGGCCAGCAGCAGCATGCACAGGCCCATGCCCGAGGCGGAGAATATGCCGGACGGCTTGCGGCCCCACTTCTCGAAGATTGTGCTCATGAAGAAGGTCATGATGATGCGGGCAACGCCCAGCATGACGGCCACCAGCACAGGATCAATGGAGACGCCTGCCCTCTGGGCAATCTGCACGGCATAAACGATGATGACCACCACGCCGCATGCCTGCTGGAAGCCAAAGAAGGCGGTCATCATCAGCACGGGTTTGTACACCTCCGGCCGCCGAATGACCTGACTGAGCGACTCGCTGGCTGCCGTGTTCCGGCTATTCTCAGCAGTCGCCTTCATATGCGCCAACTCGTCCTCGAACTCTGGCACATAGTCATCCTCTGCAATGAAAAGGATTCATGAGTAATACGACAAGGATTCCTGCTCAGAGTTGCGCGCGCGCACCTTTCTTTGGTAGACCCCGGAAATATCTCAGGGATTTCCTAGCCCTCTCGTCGCGTCCCTTCGTCAGCAGCCAGCTGGGTGACTCCGGCATGGGAAAGACGAGAATGGTGGCCGCCAGCTGGTAGCAGCAGCTAATCGTCGAAATGAGAACAATGTTGCTGCGTATAAAGTAGCCCAGCAGATACATCAGCAGAATGCCGCCAGCCAGGCCAATGGAGGTGCCCAATATAAGTCTGCCACGGATGCGTGGCAGGCTGATCTCGGCGGAGTAAACGCCCACCGGGGACACGAACATGCCAATCATTATGCCGCCCAGGGCTCGACCCACCAGCATCTGGGCATAGATCAAGTCGCGGTCAGAGTGCAGGAAACTTGTGGCCAGCAGCAGCCAGCCAAGCAGCCCCAACAGATTGGTCAGCAGAATGGTGTACTTGCGTCCAATGCGATCCATGAAGTAGCTGACCAGCAGCCCGCCCAAGGGACAGGCCATATTGTTGATGGAAGCTGCAGGTGGAGGACAAAACGAAAAACACGCCTAGAAAAGTAAGAGCCGCTCTGCGCCTTCCCGGCTGCGTTACTCACCGAACCAGCTGGACTCGTCCTTGTTCAGCCAGAAGGGCTGGCTCTCGTCGTGCAGCTGGGTGAGCGTCACCGAGGGCATGCTGATGACCATGCCCGAGCCGAGGACGCCGCTGTTGCCCAGAAAGACCATCAGTTTCTGTCGCAAAACGGCTCGATGGCTCTCGCCCAGTGGCTTTTTGCATTTCTCCTTTTCCTTGGTGTGATCCATGTCTTTGCAGATGACAGGACTACGAAACGTTGCCTCCCCAAGGTCCTTCATGGTGGAGGTGTCTGCGTGTATGTCTGTTCGTTCCTTGGGTTCCTTCGATGTCTGTTTTAGCACTTTGCGCGCACGCCGCCAATCAATTAATGTTTCTAAACGAACCGTGGAGTCAACGTCGTCGACTACTGCTGCTGCTGCTGCTCCACTCTGTTCTGATACTTTGACTGCTGCTGCTGCTGCTGCTGCTGCTGCTTGCTACACTCGAATTGTAACGACAAGTGGAAACTTCCGCGCATTTCAATCATGGGCTCGCTTCAGTATCAATTTCATAAGCTTCTTTCGATGACGACTTCACCCAGCGACGTTACTCCCTGCTGTGTCTCGTGTCGCTGCCGTGTGCGTGTCTTTGTGTCTGTGGCTTGCAGCCACCTCTCTGGGAGGACGCGTCAGCCGGCGACTTCTGAGCGTGTTTTCGGTGCCTATGTTCGCTATGTTTCCCCACACCTCAGTTATCAGTTGCCGGACGAATGTCCGCTCTCTGCATTGAACATTTGCCAGCAACGTGCTTGCTATTGATTCCCCTATCGATTATCACCTGCCAACCACTAGGTCTCCCGCTCTCATAGACTGTAAATGTTTTCAAAATTCAGCAATTTCTTTTCACTGTCACTAGCTCTTGTCGCTGACAGGCAACGACGAGCCTCCGCATGTACATACGCAATCGGTTTCCACTGTCGGCTGTCTGCTGTCTGCGGTCTGCCTGCCCTTTCCTTCTGGTTGTTATGACAACCAGCTACTGCTTCCTTCTCCTGCTCCTCGGCTGTCTGCCTGCCCCGACCCGTTCTCTTAAGTTCTGTGCGAAAACCAGCTGCAGCCCTCCCTTCAGTTGGGGCCTCTGCTCCTGCTGTCTGCCCTTCTTCTTTGGCTTGTTCTGGCGCGATGCATCAACCGGTTGCGCGTCCGCTTGGGTCAACGTTTGCCAAGCAACTGAGAACCAACTGGGCTGGGTGCTCTGCTTACGTTGCTTTTTTTTCACTCAACTGCTCTGAATAATTTGCAAATTAATTTTGTACAAAATATGGCTGGCTCCACACGGCGTATACGCAATGGCGCGGCGTTACGTATGCGCCCAGCCCAGCCCTGCCCAGCCCTGTCAGCGGAAGCAAAGCCCACAAGTTGTTTGCCTCATCGAACCTGTGGCACCCGTGCCCATGCCCATTCTCTGCCCCCTCTCCCACAATCGAACGACATTGGCAACGAACTTGGGGCAGGCAGGCTGCTGTGCAATGAAAATGAAAATTGAATTGAAGAATTCGAATTAGAATTAGAATATATGTAAAATATATTCTTGGTCGTCACTCGCATACTCTATGCATGCTCTGCGTTGCTTGTGCGTCCCAACAGGTCTGCACTTACAGTTAATAATAGTTATAATATAATATAAGTGTGAGTATAAGTCGAATTATAAGTGCACACGTGTACCCTGTATTCCCAGAGAACTTGACCTTAACATAGCAGAAAGAGATCAATAAATGCAGACATCAGACTGAAAGCGAAACCCTGTTTTGGGCTTAGAGTAAACAAAAAAATGTTTTGCATAATTTGATCTTTCTGTTTACGATCGCAAGCGGTGTCGCTGCAATTGGCCAGCAGCCAGCACAAACGTAGCAGAGAGTGCTTAACAGAGAGAGCGTGAGAGAGCGTGAGAGTAAGAATGCTTATCACAGCTGGCAGCTCTACCACTTTTCCTTTGCTCTACTTCTGCTCATATTTCGCTCTCCGCCCCCTTGGTATTTCTACGGAAGAGGTGCATAAATTATGCGCAACTAGAGTTATCGCCGACTCTGCGGGTATTTCTGGTCTTCCGTTTTAACAATAGGTTGACGGGTGGAACGGGGCGGGACGGGACGGGACGGGAACGGGGATATTCGTTCACGCTGCTGCCACGCGGTTCGCTTGCGGTCGGTTTGGATTAATTAACAAAATTCGAACCACATTTATTGCGGCTCTTAGCGCCACAACAACTTAATCGCGGCAATGATAATGGCAATGATAGTAATAATAATAACCATAATAAGGCATGTAGAACATTGCTTTAAACCAAATATTTACTCTCTGATTGTGGCAGCCAATTTGGCACAAAATAAAATATTTATCGCCCAATATTTGTGTAGCGCTACTACCAATTTGCGATTGCCAGGCATGAAATTAGGCAAAAGAACAACAAAAAACCCTAAAACAACAAATTGGGTTTGCCGAACCTGAAACCTGAGGCCAGAGTGAAACGATAAGTTATTTATGGCCAGACGACAAGGGTTCGACAAAGCAATTTAATTTTATTTTCGTGTTCACTGGAGCTGAGTTATGAACGTGTCTGACGATCACCTACCTCCCTTGCTCTCTCCGCGCCCCATCGTCGCCTAACAATCATCTGGGAACTGCAATGTCAGCAAACTATTTCATGAGACCAAGGCAAGTGAGGAATAACTGGCAGATCGATCATTTGCAAAATAAGCCCTCTGCACGAGAGCAACCAACATTAATTTCAGCACACGTTAATGGCCCACCCAGACAGCTGGCAGCTGAGACTGTCTACCCCTAGAGAGCCTCCTCAAAACAAACAAAAAGCACACAAAACTGGTTATCTCAAGTGCCTCGGGGTGCGTCAGCACCGGAGATGACCGTGCTTGGCAACAAGACCAATTTTTGCCAGTCAGTTGTGGCCTAGAATCTCAGCAAACTAGTTAAAGATAATTGATGGTGGGAAACACGTTACGTTTGAAATGATGAAAAGAACCTAAAAATGCCACAGAAATACTGCCAAATACGCCAAGAAATGTGGCCGTACTCGCAGCGTATTTTGATGTGTGCGCCTCTTTGGGACTCTTTTGCGGGGTGGAATATACTCTCTGAAGGCATTTTTATAGCAGCAACCTTAAACCTTATTAAATAAATAATCCAATGAAAGGCAGTCCTCAGAGTTCTAGCTAGCTAAAGTTGAGAAATTAGCTTTTTGATCAAGAAACACGGATGTTAGCCCATTGTCGACCAGCGGGCAGTGCAAAATGTTCACATGTTTAAACATAGGGGGACCAAGAGGGTTAAGTTCGATAAGTTCGCGGTCACACTGATACCTAGTCAAAAACAAAACAAAATACAACAAAACGTGTCCGTCTGTCCACACTCAAAAATAATCGTCGCCTGAAAGTTTTCTTTTTGACTTTTGCATCTGCCAAAATGGTTTTCTACTTTAAAAGCAACATTATCCAGCCGCCGGCCACTCTGTACATGGGCCGCGACAAGCACGAGAACGAGGAGCTCATCCGCTGGGGCTGGCCCGAGGATGTGTGGTTCCATGTAAACAATCTGTCGTCGGCGCACGTTTACCTGCGCCTGAAGCCGGGCCAAACCATTGATGACATACCCAGCGATGTGCTGGTGGATGCGGCCCAGCTGTGCAAGGCCAACAGCATACAGGGCAACAAGGTGAACAACCTGGAGGTTGTCTACACCATGTGGGAGAACCTGAAGAAGACCCCGGACATGGAGCCCGGACAGGTGGCCTATCACAACGAGGGCGCCGTGCGCAAGATTCGCCTGGAGAAGCGGGTCAATGAGATTGTGAACCGCCTGAACCGCACCAAGACGGAGGAGGAGCATCCCGACTTTCGTGGCCAGCGTGAGGCTCGCGATGTGGCCGCACGCAACGACCAGAAGAAGATGCTTCGCGTGAAGCGCGAACAGGAGAAGGAAGCGGCCAAGCAGCGCGAACTGGAGGCCGAGCTTCGCAGCTATGCCTCGCTCCAGAAATCCGAGAATATGCGCACAAACTACGATGCCGGCAACGAGTCGGACGACTTCATGTAGTATCAATTGCATTTATATCTAAGCTATGATTATCATCGTATGAGAATCATAATTAAATTTTTTGTTAATAAATTATATAATATAAACCCCTTGGAAAATGCCAAAATGATCATCTTGAAAGAGGACGTGCATTCTTTCAAAGCTAAAAAAAATACGCGGGAGAACAGCTGCAACGCTAGATTTTCCGCCCATCTGGCAGCTCCAAATTATTAGATGGGATTTTTTTGCGTGTCTGGCAGCGCCCATGGTTGGCTGGCTAACCAGAAATTTAGCTAAATTCAACTTGGATGCGGCAAATGGAATAAAAGGCATTGCTACTAACCCTGGGAAAGGTGTGCCACAGCTGCACAGCCTGAACACGGAATAAATTACATCAAAATTTAGCTTTTTGTTAGCACGGAAGCATTTGCACCAACAAGCGGATACAATTTTTGGGTAAACATTCCAACCCATCACATAGAATAGATTTAATAAAAAAAAAGGGTTTATTTGCCATAATTAATTAAACCAGTTAGGTGCAGTTACTACTACAGACAGGG